TTCTACACAAAAAGTTTTCCAGTAAGGACACAAAATTGCATTTTGGAAAAGCTTTTTGGAGTGTAAATAATTAAATATAAGCCTACCCCTAATGTTTTCTACACAGCATATAGATACATACATGGGTGTGTGAGTGTGTGTGTGCATAAATTTTTATAAAATAAGTATTTGCAAACCTAAACAATTATTGAAAAGCATACTTGCATAAGATATACCCATGTCTTTATAACTTATAAACTATAATAACTAACAGCTAATTGTACCAAAAACCAAATATTTTTTTTACAAACAACTAAAGCCATCAATTTGCTAAATGCCTAAATCAGGTTATCCTCAAACAAGACCATAAACATGCTTTGTCAAACTCTAGGGAAATGCTATATTTAAGAAAATTGTAACATTGACTTAAAAAATAAATAAATAAAAAGAGAGGAATGATTCAGATTGATAATTTTCAACCAAATTGATCATTCATCCATACAATACAAGTGTGAGTACAGCATAGTTCTAAGATAAATCCCAATTCCCAAAATCCCATGTTAGAATATAACATAGGTCACTTCAGGAGAATCAGGATCAGCAAAATCTACAGTTTGCGCATCAAATGAAGCTTCCTTTTACTCCCAAAACAGACAAGCATGGCAGGGGAATACTTTATATGAATTTATGCAACTAAGCACATTTTTATCCACTGATAGCATCCTTTGGACAAATCTATAACAGCATTATATCCAATTCTCATACAGAGATGTAGAACACACACAGTAGCATTTAGTTCGTTGACACGGTTTCCACTGAAGCACAAATCCAGATACATTTGTAAGTTGCATGGTGTATCATGGTTGAGGCATTCAGTGGCAAAGTAATTTAGTGCTATTTGTATCCACAAGGAATAATTATTAGCTTTCACATGATATATGTATTTCAATGTCATCAGAGAAAGTACAACAGCTTTCAAGCAGTTAGACTGCTTTGACAGGAATGACAGCCTTAAATATCATGATTCACCAACCCCACTGTGTAGTACTCTAGCACATTTTTAAACCCTTGCTTGGAAACAAATTGGCTACATACAGAAGTAGGATAGAGAAATATCTAGCCTGATATGATCAGTGTTTTCAATTTTCATCATAACTTTATCTAGAAAACAACAATTCATGCCTGGTTGGTTAGCAACAAGACTCATGTAGCTTTCAACCAAGTCATAACACGTTTTCAGATTCTTAGTATGTTGGGAGTTAGAGAAGGAAATTCTTTCTTGGAAGTAGTACTCTCTAGTTTTTATCTTATGTATTCACTTCCCAAGACTCAAATTATGTTCCTTCGATAATTGTGTAATTATTAGTAAATAAATAGCTTGTACTGGGGGGGGGGGGGGGGGGGGGGGGTGCAGAATGAGGCTTGATAATATATTTTGAAGACACTGGTATTTCTCTCTTTCAATCTTGTGAAGTTGAACCTTTAGCTTTTCTTTTGTTTTTTCTGAATCCCTTTTAAATCTCGCATATAATTATGAGACAGCAATTTGCTAGTTAAAGATCAGCATCAAATAGCAGATGACTGTTCACAAGATCAAATTTTTTATCTGATATCCTCTACATTGATATCTATCTTTATTATCCATTATCCATACCCATTACGAGTTTAAAACCAAGTTTCTACTTTGTTGTCCTTGTCATTGGATCCTATAACAATTCTCCACAATATCTCAATTCTGGCATAACTAGCTCGCCAATCTAAAAAATATAAAATTTTGAACTATCACTTTGAGACTAATACTAGTTAAACCGTTAAAGCACATAAATTTATACAAATCATATTCAAAAACCACAGAAAAACATAAACTTGGAAATAAAAAACAATAAAAGACATCAGAAAGGAAGATAAACAAAACTTTGCTGGCAACAAAAGTCAAGGATGAAAGTGTACCAGGAATCTTTGTCATGAGGAGACTTGATTTCCTAAGAGCAGTTTTAATCTCCTTGGCATTACTTGTTCGTAACAAATCCCTAAAATCCTCATACCTAAACAATGCCGGAATCCCAAAGCACCCAATAAGCAATAGCAAACCGCGAGAATCCATTTTGCTAGCTTTCCCCAAGCCTCCTTCAGTGATCAGCCTCTTTCTCCATGCCACAGCTGCCTGCTCTGCTTCTTCCTTCACAGCATTCTCAATCCCAATCCCTTGATCAATTTCCATCAACAAAAAGCATTCAAGAATCAATACAGATGCCTCCCTTGCCGGGATCATGGGAGATTTCTTATCAGCAAAAGCCTTACTGCCCTGAAGAAAAAACCTTCCGGAACAGTCTAGCGCGAGCCTCCCTGGATTGGGGGCAAGTTTCAATGCCTTAGGAACTTCCTCTCGCAGTTTACTGATTTCAGAGAGCTGCGAAACCATGTACTTCCGGAGCCCACGGCTGTTCATCGTTCGGCAGAGGTGTTCGAGTTCCGAGCCAGTATGTTTCGGTTGATTTTCCTCAATGGGAGCCGAATAAGAAGCTTGATTCGCCGGAGCAATCGGCAATTCGTCTTGTTTAGGTGTGGCAATGGCTGGTCCCTGTTGCACTATGGAGTCGATGGCTGTCTTAATATAATTCATATGGCCCTGTAGCTCGTCATAGCAGCGCTGGAAGGCGGAGAGCGCCGTGGAGAGTCCACGGAGACCGGCGAATGTGTCAGCGGGGCACGAAGGAGGTTGCTCTGACTGTGATTGTAGAGTTGTTTCCGTGAGCGGTGGTGGCGGAGGATTGGATACAGAGCCTTCGAATTCGGCGGTTAGCGGTGGCAATTGTGATTTCTCGGCTTCTGACTCCATCTTTGGCTGAGGAGAAGTAACGCCGGCTGCGGCGGTCGCCGGTTGCGCCATGAGAATTGAAGTGAAATTTGTGAAACCGACGGGGCGTTGCCCTATTTAAGTAGCCAATTTTATATGAGGCCTCAGGCGAGAACACAATGTTTGATAAGAATTGATAAACCAAACCCCAATTTGGTAAACTTTACATTGAAACACCTACTTTGGAGTATATATCACAATATAACAATGGAAAAAGTGTCAAATAGGCTATCAAATTTTTACTATTTGTGCAATTAGATCATCAAACGAAAAATTGTGCAATTAAACTATTAAATGTTTGTATTTAAAAAAAAAAAAACTATTAAATGTTACTAAAACTCGCAATTGACATTCTTTACAATTAGACAACAGGTTTCCAGTAACATTTTTCGATGACATGTTCCTAAAAAATAAAATAATTTTATTTTAAATTTATTTGACAAATATAATATATTAATAAAATAAATATTAAATTAATTATTAAAAAAAAAAAAAGGTGGTTGCCTCCTGTAGCTTCATCAAAGAAGGAAGCAAGGTTGTTTCCACGGTAACTATGAACGGAGGAGGCAGCCCTCCTCCTTCAAGCTCCATTAGGGGTGTGCAGTATCTGAATTATCCGACTAACCCGACCGACCCGCACCCGAACTGATATTGTTGGACGAAATCCGTATCCGAACACGACTATCTGATTCGTTGCCTTTATATAAGGCGGTTAATGGAATTCGGGTGGGGACTTATGTTTGCCATCCGAACCCGTCCGAATATCCGAGCTAGGGTAAGGGTTGGTAAGGGCCTTAAGTATACGACGCCGTGTGGGATTACTATATATAATGCGATGAAGGGTTGAAACCCTAGATCTTTCGTTCATTTGCACAGTCACCCCTTCCAGAGAACTCTCTCATTCTCTGACTTCTCTCTTCCAGAGTATTCTCAGTTCTCTCTTCACTGATCTCTCTACTCTCTACTGTTAGTGTGAGACTCTAAGTAGTAAACACTCTCTCACTCTCAGTTCTCTCTGGTGGAAGCTATTAGTCTTCGTCTCTTAGGTCAGTCGGTGGAAGCCATATTCTGGTAGCCCCTGAATCCGGTGACCGGTGCTGTGACTTGTGAGAGTGAGACGCATAGACGGTGACCTGACCTGACCGGTGGATTGCATATTGCTGGCTAGGAATCGAAACCCTTTGTTCTCGGGGGTTTAATTTGGAGAAACGAAGTAATCTCTAAACCCTAATATTGTGATATGTTGTTGTTGTGACTTATGATTCTATGATTCTGATTTCTATGGACTGTGACACTGCAAATCTGTTGAGAAGTTCCAGATTGGATGTCACTTGTCCCTTGATTCTTCAATTTGTGATACTTTGTTATAGGGGTGTGTAGTATTGTATGATTTGATTGATTTTTATGGACTGTGATACTGCAAATCTGTTGAGAAATTCCAGATTGCATGTTACTTGCCCCTTGATTGTGTAATTCGTGATACTTTGTTGTGATTCTATGATTGTATCATTTCTATGGACTGTGATACTGAATCTGTTGAGAAGTTACAGATTGCATGTCACTTGTCCATTGATTAGTTGATCACTTGATTGTGCAATTTGTGATACTTTATTAAAATTAGCAATCTTGTAATACTATTTTCCATTAATATATTACTATCTCAATCAAAGAAATAAAAGGACCAAACCCTTTTCAATTCCCCTAGCATCAGAGTCTGGAAAGGATCATATTGAGCAAGCTATATATATTTTCCCAACACACAGTCACACATCATTAAAATTAGCAATCTTGTAATACTAATTTCCATTAATATATTACTATAACAGGTGAAATTTTGAGTTGAACAAACTAAACCATCAAATCCAATATATTTCAAACTAAAACAACTCAAACTCAAATAAAAATACTACTGGTGTGTTTGGTTTGCACATGGAATCAGAATCAGAATAAGAATCAAATATTTGGTGAAAGAAAACAAATTATAATACAATGCAAGAGTAAAATCAAATTATAAAGACATCACAAACCATAAGCCATGGCCTGTCCATTTGTCACCCTAATCTTATATGACTTTATCAATTTGTTTGGTTTTAATTCCTATCTCAATATGGCAATCATCGCTCACATTTTGGTTTGTTGAAATCTTTACACTTGTAGGCATTGCTTGCAAATAGACTGTTGGGCTTTCTCTTTCCCTCTTGTCACAGTTATGCACCAAACAGCAAGACCAGCTAAAGAGTATACTGGAAACAATAAATAGCATAAAACAAGTAAAACCATCGTGCTACTTTCACCATTCCACTAAACACCATCGGCAAGATTGCCCTAAGAATTTATGTTTTAAATAGGTTCATAAAGTTTCAAAGTTTTTTATATCTACATTCACTCTAGAAGAACAACACATCAAGATCCCTTGTATTTCACCCTACCAACAAAGCCTACATATTTCGTTCAATCTCTGGATTCAATAGCCTTTATTTCCACGGATTCGAGCTCTCATGTCAACCTGGAATAGGAAAATTTTGGTAAGCTCGCCAAGAATTAGAATTTGAGCATTTTTTTGTTAATTATGAGATGAAACTGGAGTTAGATACTACACATAGTAATTTGACATGATATTTTCCCTGAAATCATTTCATAGTAAACATGCAAGTTCGTCTGTTACTGATTCATAGAAGCCTAAAAGGTACTAAACTATCTTACTTAATGAAATATGAAGCAACTAGTATGAAAGAGGCAGCAATCTGTGCATAGAGTCTAAGTGTTCCACCCCAAACCATCAGAAAAGATTGCAATGTGAAAGTATTTAGCACTTGAGAAAGAGACATGTGGATGTACAAATTTTAGTTTCATAATCTTAAGGATGTTATGCACCAACTTTGCTTGTCCTACCTGAACTTATATACATGTCAATACATCTATCAGAATACAAACTTGTCAGTCAATCAATATACAGATAAAAGGGCACACCCATTACCCCTTTTGCTTTTTACAAGTACATATGCGCATTGCATGCTTTAAAGTTATATTACTTGCAATTAAAACCTATAGTTGTTGGACAACAGTATCAGCAAACCATTATGTACTAGCTAATCTCTCTGTTCAACATTACGTGATTCCTTAGTAGCAGGATATGAAGATACTTGAGCAAGCTTTTTTTAAAGTGAGAAGCGCAACAGACAAAAGAACTCCAGATTGCCTTAAAGTGCAAAGCAAAATGATGCTTTCCAACAATCTTACCCACAGAAATGCAAATTTGCAAATCAAATTTTGTGGTTTATAATGATATCTATATGGTTGAGAATGCAACTCCTATGACTATCTATATGATACTTCCAAGCTTACAATTGCATAGTTTACATAAAGATACGATTATACAACCAAAAAAAAAACTACAATTGACTTAATAAAGAAATAATAATACAGTCATATTGTCATAGACTCATAGTATTCAATTATTCATCAATCATCAATATACATCTATCTCCTTACAAATGAGATCTGATGAATTAGAATTTAATTACATAATTATAACATTATGCAGTATGTCTAGTCGAGCAGTGGACAGAGAGTGTGCAGTGGATTGTGCATAGACAATTTAGAGCTATACTCTCTCTGTCCACTTGATAAAGCCCACAGTGAGTATAAATTGGAGACAAAACCCACAGGGCCCATAACTCTTCACCTCAGACAAAGCTTCAAGGAAGGGAAAAAAACCACCTCAAAGACGAAAATAAAGGATGATGAAATGAGAGGAAGTATAAATCAGAGCGATATATATATATATATATATATATATATATATATATATATAGGGGCGCACTCAGGTGAGAACGGGCACACAGGAGAAAACTATGAACTAATCCGAACTGTCCATCTGAAAAGATCAACGGATCAAGTGTAATTAAAAAAAACCCGGTGGCATTTTTGTAAACTACTCGAACTTTGAGTGCAAGTAACATGTGTTAAAAATACAAGTAACAGGCGCAAGTGTGCAAATAAAATCACTTAAAAGGGCCCACTTGGTGTACATTATATTGTTGCACTTTTAATACATTTTACTTACATTTTGTTGCACTCTATGAAATTGTTAGTTGCACTTTTAGCACAATTCACTTGCACTTCAAAGTTCAAATTATTTACAGAAATACCACTACATTTTTAAAATTGCTTCTGATCCGTTAAATCTTTCCATATAGATGGCTGTGATTGGTCCTAGTTCTCTTCTTGCTCCTTAGACCAAAGTAATCACTTTGATCCATTTCCCCACTAACTGTGTTTCCTTGGAGCAAAGCACACAACCATTGATTGTGATCGCTTGATTCGCTTCACCACTAAGTGACAAAGTAGTCACTTTTTACAAGTGAGCAATTGAGCCATGATCACTTCATCACTTAAGTGACAGAGCAGTCACTTTTTACAAGTTAGATGAGCAAGTGCATAACTTGGTTTATGATGTCTAACACAAATACCCTATTATATTTTTGCCCATAATGTTCTCAACAAATATACAAATCAAACTAGCACACCCAATAAATGTGCAATTTAATGACTATTCCTAACTAAAGATGGTGATACATGCTGAGGAAATCTTTTTTGATTACTATTACATTACATAGGTTAGAAATTAAGAAACTACTAAATAGTTATTTATAGACCACTAAATAGTTATTTAGAAATTACTAAATAATTATTTAACTTATTACTCTTAGTTCTCAAATTAGTTTATGTAGTTTAATTATTTGGAAACTACCAAATAATAATCATTCTTAGTTTAGGAATCTTTGTAATCAACCCTATACGAGGGAGTATTATTTAGAATAAAGGGAAGCAGAAATTCAATCCAGAAAGGGTCTAAGGGAGTTTTGGGTCTCAACACTCAAGCAAACCTAGTGTTGTCTTCTTTTCCTTTTCCAACTATTATTCTTTCTTCCTTTTTCCTTATGTTTTCTTGCCCATGACGGGAACACATACATTGGTTTTGTTGCCAAGAACATTGGCCTACATCAGCGCTATCTCCCCATGTGGGTGATCAACAATGATTGTGAATGATGAATCATCCACGTTGAGTGATATACCATCGTCATCTATTTCTTGAATTCCTAAGGAAGTAGGCATATTGATTTTTGGTGTTTGGTTATTGAGGAATTTTGTAATACATAGCTTTAGGTCATTGGGATATTCACCCAATTCTTCAAGGTGACCTTTTTCTAAAAGTTTCAACTCATTCATTGATTCTTTGAGAGCTTCAAGCCTTCAAACTCAGACCGAGTGACACCCATGACGCCGGCAACGAAACCAATGTTACTGTTATGTGCTCCCGTCATGAACAAGAATAATAGTTGGAAAAGAAAAAGAAGAAAACACTGGATTTGCTTGAGACCCAAAACTCCCTTAGACCCTTTTTGGGATTGAATTTTTGGTTTCCTTTATTCTAAATAACACTCTCCCTTTTATAGGGTTGATTACAAAGATTCTTAAACTAAGAATGATTAATTGTTTGGTAGTTTTCAAATAATTAAACTACCTAAACTAATACGAAAACTAAGAGTAATAAGTTAAATAACTATTTAGTAATTTCTAAATAACTATTTAGTGGTCTTTACTCTCTAAATACTATTAGTAGTTTCTTAATATCTAAACTATGTAATGTATTAGTAATAAAATAGAACTTCCACAGGCTTGTGTCTCTGGACACCAAAATAAAGTCAATACCCCCAAAATAAAAACAAAATCTATTTCTATAGATCTATGTGCAATTAAGTTCACATAACCACAGGAAACCATATCTCACCAATGCTGAACTAAAACTTTGTTTTCTATGTTTTACTGGCTTTTCAAGTGAATGCTTAAAACTTTCACTAGTAATTTAAATTTAAATATGCAGATATAATCAAAAATTTTGGCATTTTGCAAAAGGAAATACAGTTTTAAAGCACATACCACAATAGGATCTGAATCCCCTTTACCTACTTGAGCATAGCTGGTGAGAAGAGTGATATCCCATTATCCCATTCAATAAATCAGTGTTTTGAAGGCACTAAGTTAAAAAGAGAGGATGTTTACTAAATACAAGTTAAAATGGGGTCACTGAAGGCAGGCCCAGTGCATATTTAACCCTGCTACTTTCATATTTGCAGAATGCAGATTGCAGAGGCATACTCAACATGTTCTGTAGTAATAAATGAGAAAGTTTCCATGAAAAACACACTGATAGATATTGTTCAAACTGATTTTTAACATGTCCAGACTCACTTGATAATTACATGTCAACTAACCAGATAATAAAGCAATTATAACAAATTGGCTATCAGCACCACTCCACACTGGTAATATAAGCTAAAGAAGCTAAGCCGCTTTACCTACATAACAATTTCTTTCACATTCATACTTTTTGTATTCCAAAATGAAGAACAAGTAGATTCACCATGCTCATTAGTCATCACGATTCAAATACACAAATTAAACATGCTACAGGGGATTTGGACAACTATCAAACCAATAATAACAACAATAATAGAATAATAAGAATTCATAAAAGAACAGTGATTCAGCTTAAGGTATTTGAAAGGGAAATGGAATAACAAACCTGTCCTCTTTTGCAGTTGAAATAAGTTTCCCTTAACCCTACGCACTCGCTTGAAATCGATGGACTCTTCTCCTTTGCGCAGTCTCTGAACGGCCGATTCTGAACCTATACACACGTGAAGCCAAACTATTCGTATTACTATTCAACGAAAAATACTAGTGTCGGAAATATTGAGTGAACATAGAAGAATACCTTAACGCAGTCGGATTCACTGAGGCATTTGACGAGCTCCGTAGCTAAACCTTTGCAGGATTTCGCCATCTCTGCTCCTCTTTCTTCTTCTATACACACCAACTCTGCAAAGTTTCGGGTTATCAATAACCATCTCCGTATTTAGGCCCGAATGTAAATACTTGAATGGGCCTTTTACCACATTGCATATTTAATATGATTAATTTCGGATCACTGGATTATTATTTTTTGGTTGGATGCAAAAAACATTTTTAAGGAAAATATTTTTTAAAATTTGAGAAAAATTGAATTTTTTACGGTTGGTTCATGATTTTTTTTTTTTTTTTTTTACATAAAAATGTTTTCTTTAGTTTTGAGGATTTTTTTTTTTAAATGAAATGGTGATATTATGTTTTTCATAAAAGTTATGTAGAAAATATCACATGGTTAGACAATTTTGTTTTTATTATTTTTAATTATTATTATTATTATTGAGTAGGGATATTTTAGTATTTATACTCATTATTTTTTACTATTCCAACCCTATTATTATATCATGGATAATGGTCCTAAACGACGTATTTTTGAATTTTAATTTTGACGGCGACCATTTGTTGTTCAATTCGCGTTACATGTTTTTTTTTTTTACTGTAAAACATGTGTATGTATCTTGTGTTATGCGTTTCTGTGTCTCATGTTATGCAATTCTATACCTTTAGCATATGAATTCTATACCTAAAATAAAGTGAATATAACATGTATTTTTGTGTATTGTGCTATGCGATTTGTGTTTTGTGTTATGCGTTTTTGTGTCTTATGATATGTAATTATGTACCTTAAAAATATTGATTCTGTACTTGAAGTAAAGTAAATATAAAACATGTATATGTATCTTGTGCTATGCAATTTTGTACCTTATTGTAAGGATGTACATTCAGTATTGTAAAAATGAACCATTAATATTGTGAAAATGAACATGTAATGTTTCATTACTGAATCTATTTGAGATCCACAATTATAATGTTGTTGCATTACAATTGTAAAAAATGAATCTACATTATTTTGAAAAATGAAACTGTAATATTGTAAAATTGAACCTACAGTATTTAGAAAATAAACATTTAGTATATTGGAAATGAACATGACACAGCGACTTAAATTCTGTATTTTATATATTAATTTTTATTTTTTTAAAAAAACATTTAAGTTGAAAAAAATAATTTTTAACTTTATAGCAATGCGTTTCCTATTCGGTAGTCCATATTACAAAGTGTTTTTCTTTCCTACTTTAACAAAAAAAAATAATAATAATAACAGTAATAATAAATAAATAATAAATAAATAAATAAAAAGGTAGCGTAGGACGATTGAAGTTTTCCTAATAAAATAAGGATGGCCCATAGATTCTGTAAATAGTCGACAACAACCAAATTATCATCTAAAAACCATTAAACACACCTCAGTACTCAAGATCTTAAATGCTGGGTTCCTCTTAAGAATGGCGGATTCTAGTTCTACAACAAGCAAAACCACCATAACTTGTACTTGGCTTGAAACAAGATGGTTCTTCTCTAGTCCCCACAAAACCCATATCCTCAGCTCCTTCCTCTAATACCAACAAAACCAAGGACATAAATATCTTCAAGCCCCTAGTTCTTGCAGACTATTATTATTATTATTATCCTTTTTCCTTAAGGAATGTCTATAGTTATGGCTTCTTGTGGGCGTTTTTCTGGGCTTTGCAGTGGCGTGAGAGTAATTGAGAAGCAACCATTTTCTAGTCATGGTGCTTTCAGCTGCTCTTTTGCTATGGATCCATTTCGCAGAATCTGCATTCTTCCTAATAGGTAAAATTTCTTGCCTCCCTGTGTGTTTTTGAAGTGGGTTTTGTTTATGCACCTATTATTTTCTTGAAATTTGAAATCTTTGGGGAACTTTTTAAATAGTCTTATGTCACTTGTATTCAGGGTTTTGGAGACGTTTGCTCTTGCAATTAAAGTTGGTACCTTTTTTTTTTTTTTTTCCATTAAGCTGATTGGGCTCTGTATATCCGGTTATGGTGTTTGTCTCTAATGGCTATGTGTATGTGTGTCTCTGATGAGTTCATAGTTCTTCAGTTGTAACTTCAAATTATTGATTTCTCCATCAAATAAAAATAAGTCTTTTAGCTGATAGATGCACTTTCTAATGGCTAAAATGTTGAAATTGGTTCATGTTAAGATCTCTGCAACATGGTCTCCCTGAGTTATGTTTGTGGGCTGGTAGAATTTATGATCAATTGATTCAATTGGAAATGTGAGCATTTGCTTACTCCATAATGGTTGGACCTCCTAAAGTGATAGGTGTTAAGGTTTAGTAGTTTTAGTTGGTTAGTATCTTGGTGTTCAATGTTATATTAAGAACATAGATTGATCTAACTATCTAAGTTTTATCCTTGGACAGGTTAGGATTTAATGCAAGTACAATCGTTCCGAAAGCATCATCAGCTACTGTCGAGGTAACTTGAATTGCTGATTGTCGTGGTTTTTCTTGGTGTTAGCTTATTTCTCTTGACTGGGGAAACAGGACAAGAGTTTCTCCGAGACTGCAGAAATACCAACTCCCAAAGTGATACTAGATCTGGATTCAGATCCAGATGCAACTGTAGTTGAGGTCACCTTCGGGGATCGCCTTGGGGCACTTCTTGATACGGTTTGTCTGTCCTCTATCACTCCTGATTCAAAGGCTCAATTGAATTTTATAAACTGCAGTTGTTCTTTAAATAGTTTTCGCAGAATGAACCTTAATTTGCCAGATATGTCTCAGATGAATGCACTGAAAAATCTTGGGCTGAACGTTGCCAAGGCAAATGTTTATCTTGATTCATCCGGGAAGCACAACAAGTTTGCCATTACCAAAGCGTAAGCCAATACTGTAAATTGATTTCGGTTTTCTCTGTAATTTGCATAGTTTCTGAATTTCTTGTCATTTTGTATTTCTGACTATATTGTTGGTGTGGTATTGGTATAGTTCTACAGGTAAGAAAATTGAGGATCCCGAGTTGCTCGAGGCAATTCGTTTGACAATTATTAACAATATGCTTGAGTACCACCCGGTAAGAAATAAGTTCAGCATTTTCCATAGTAGTTTTTAAAAGTAAAACTTGATAGGCTGTTATCCAATGCATTTTAATATATCGATTTCTGGGTCAGGAGTCGAGTTCTCAGTTAGCTATGGGGGAAGCTTTTGGTGTTCTTCAACCACATCATAAGGTTCCTAATTTTATTAGAGCATGTAGCTTTGTCTGCATTTCTATTCGGATAATCATTATATGATTGTGTAATAACTTTTGATGATTGTGTTACAAAATGTTCAGGTTGATGTGGACATAGCGACCCATGTTCATGTCTACAATGACAGTCCTGAACGGAGGTGACTTCGTATTTTAATTTGATTTATTGACTATCGCCCTCGACTTGATTCTGCAATTGCAGATCGTGTGTGACTACATAGATGTCGTGAACTTGATATGCGTTTTTTTGCAGCTTACTCTGTGTAGAGACAGTGGATAGACCTGGATTAATAGTTGATCTTGTAAAGGCCATTGCTGACATAAATGTTGATGTTGAATCGGGAGAATTTGACACCGAGGTACAGCTCAGTCGTCCCATAAATCCTTAAACACTGTACTACAATGTTGTCTGAAGTACTATGAATGATATACGAAGATGTTAAACTGTTTTTCTTTCGAAACTCAGGGATTGCTCGCTAAGGCGAAATTTCATGTCAGCTACAAGGGCAAAGCTCTCATTAAGCCCCTTCAACAGGTAAAATACCCTAGTTTTGAATGCAAACTTTCATTTGCGTGTTACAGATACTGCCCTTGTAAAGAGAAATTGTTGGGCGGAGGCCAGTAAAGGGCCAAGTCCAGTACCCTGGCTCTCGAAAATGTGTGGCAGTATAAGGAAATAAAGTTGCACCTTCACTACTAGCTATAGCTTTTGGCTGTGGTAAGTGTTTGATCTAACAAGTGGTATCAGAGCCAGGTCACGGTTGGTATAAGGAAATAAAGTTGCGTCTTCGCTAATCGCTACTAGCTATAGCTTTTGGCGTAGTAGTAAGCGCTTGATCCTAACAGAAATGTATCACGTGACCATTGGACACCTTTCAGGTTCTTGAAAATAGCCTCCGGTATTTCTTGAGAAGACCGACCACAGAGGAAGCAAGCTTTTGAGTGCAAGATTACAAAGTAACATGTTGGCTAATGATGCAAACTGGCACTGGCAGCCTCTATTCATGTCTAACATATGGTGTTTACTGTATAAGTTGATTAAGTTCATGTTCATTTCAAGCTCCATTTGAACATCTACATGAATTTTTATAAATGTAGTATGAAACTATGAATTCTCCAGTGATGCTGTAAACCTGTTGTCAGATCAATTAAAATGTTGAAAGTTGAGTGATTTGGCTATATCAAATTTGGCAACTTGTTGCATTCATGATGACACCTTGGTCCTATTTGGTAACGGGTGTTGCTATTTGCACCACCCTTTGACCAAAAGTGAGTATAAAGTATCTTGAAATTGTAAAAAGGTGAAAATTTTTAATAATTACATAGGTGGTGTAAATAGTCAAATGAGGGTTCATTTTGCTATTTGCACTACCTTGATTAAACCTCATTTATGAGGTGTAATTAATAATATTTTTATTCAAAACCTAATTAATTGAAACATTAAATTAAAAAAAAAAAAAAAAAAAAAAAAAAAGAAGATAAACCCCGTCACTGTTTTGCTTTTTTTTTTTTTTTTTTTTTTTTTTTTTTTTGTTTTTTTTTGTTTG